TTGAAGAAGAAATTAATGAAGTAAAATAATTTTGTTGTATTATTTAATAAATATATATTATCTGTTTAGTCTTTGACTAAACAGAATTTTATTTACGTAAAAAAATGCGTTTGCGAAACAATTTGAAAGAAATTTCTAAATCAAAATTTATGGTTGAAAGTGATTATAACTTTAAAATAGTATATTACAATAGTATACTTGTTCGTAGGAGTGAACGAAATAGTAAAAATCCTGAACCAAAATATGTGTTTAAACGTAAATATATCAGAAAGAAAAAATATAACTTTTCGATTTGTTCAGATTCTATTTATCAGGGTGATTTAGAATCAGATTGTTCAAATTCAACATATATAACTGATAATGGTTTTGTAGTTAAAGATGATTTAAAAAAATATTGTATCATTTGCAACAAGTTTTATTTTATATATCATGATTGTCCATATGATATTATATACGTATTATCTCAAAATGAATTTGTTAAAGATAAGGAGTTAAAATTTGATGGAGAAAGAAAAAAAGATTCTGATTATAATGGAAAATACATAGTGAGTCAAAATGGTGTTGTTAATAATAATAACGGTATTAAGTTTAGTGATATAGATTTAAAAATAGATGATTCGGATGATGAATTAATTTCTGAGGAAAAAGCATTAAATTTAGCATTAAAAAAAAATAATTCTTGTTATATTTAATCAGTCTTAAGACCGATTAAAATTTTAAATACGTAATTTAACAAAATAGTATCTGAATATGAAGTGGCAAAAAATCAGTATAATAGTTTATCTGAGTTTAATTCAAAATATTATACTTTTATTAATGTTTTGAATTAAATTGAAAGTCAAGGATTTACCATTGATACTAAAAAACCTATTGATGAGATTAGACTTCAAATTGGTATTAATATCAATTTGATGCAACAGACTAAATTAATGATTGATAAATATGAAGATGAAAGAAGAGAATTTTCTTTGTGTCTTTTAGTTTCAGATTCTAAAAGAATCTGGTTGAGTCATCGTAATAATCCTAACAAAGATTACTATGATTATTATCAGGCAACAGGTGGTACAAAAGAAAAAAATGAAACTTTTGAACAATGTGCTCATAGAGAAACTAAGGAAGAAACAAATATTGAATTAAATGAACTTGAATTTATTGCTTTTCAAGAAGGATTTAGAGAATTTCTAGATGGGAAAACATGTTTGTATAGGACAGGGATTTATTATTCTATTATTGGTGATAAGAATCCTCAATAAACAGAATCAGAAAAAAATGATGGATGGCAACAATTTGAATTAAAAGATTTACAAAATCTTAAAGTAACTGATTCTATTAAAACAAATTACGGACAAATTTCTGAGATTATTAACAAAAAATTTAAAAACAAAAAGAGACGTAGAATTGAGGTTGAAAGTCCAAAAATTGAAGATATAGAAAGTCCATGCAGTGAAAATTTAAAGAACCAATAGTTTATTTTTTTTTATTTATTTTTATTTTTATTGATTTTGTAATTTATTAAATAAATTAATCTAACTAGTTTTTTGACCAGTTAGATTTTTAATTATACAATTTCGAAATGAGATTAATAGATTTATTAAAAAAAAATGAAGAATATCAATGATTTACCCATTAAAATTCTAATTTTAACACTATACAATATCTTTCAAAGAAAAATAACCCTATCTGATTTACCAACCACTCTATCGATCAAATTAGTTTGTAAAAATTGGCATAATTGTTATCTTTCATTGTTCAAGATTCATGGAACCAAATATATTTTAACGCCTAACACATACTCTTTTGATGATTATACATCTATCAAAAAATCAGAATATTATTTTAAATTTGTGGATAGTGTGAAAGTTATAGAAACTAATATTTCAATACAAACAAAGTTGCAAACTTATGAAGAATATAAGCTTTCCAAAAGAGAATTAAACAATGTTTAGAAAAAACAATTCTTTATACATGGGGTATATGGTTTCTAGACGAATTATATGATTGTAAAGTATTAAAATGCAAAACAAAAAATCAAAAATTTCATTGTCACAAGATTTGTAAGAAATGTTATGAAAGTTATTCTTTAAAGTTTGCTGATGTAGTATTTTTTTGCTAGTCTTTTAAATTAAAGTTTAAGTCTAATCAGTTATTTAACCGATTAGAATTTTATTGATGTAATCTGAAAAGATTTATATGTAATTAAAATGGAAGACAATTTTTTTCTTGATGATTCTGTATGGGAATGTTTTATTCGAAAATTAACTAAAGAAACTGATGATTTTGAATATTTTGTTCAAAAAATAGCTGGAGTATATGGTGTTTTAGCTGATGAAGTTAAAGTATATCAAGACAATAATTGTACTGATATTATTGTGAAATATATCGATTCAAAACAGGAAAAACATTTTATTTATCTTAATTATGATAATGTAAAAATAAGTGTTAAATTTGGATTTCTTTTTAAAAAAGATTTTCGTCGTTATTGTTAAAAGAAAAATTAAATTTTTTGATAATATTTTTATTTAGTTTTATTCTAGCTAGTCTATTTGACCAGTTAGATTTTTAACTACATAATTCTGAAATGACTAATAAAAGGTGAGTTATATCTACTTAATAATCATATTTGTGCACGCTGCTCTTCAGATATTAGGAATTTATTCTGGGAAGAGAATTTTTTTTAAATTTTTTCGAGGATAAATTTCATTTTTGCTAGGAACGTGAACGTGTAGATGCCGCAACCCATGGAGTGAAAAATATGTTTTATTAATTTTTTATTTTATTTTAGATATCAAACTGGGCAAAAGGTCATACTTTCGAAAGTGATCTTCATAAATTATTTAACCAGAATGGGATAATTGCCCATATAATTCAAGTTACTGAAGGAGACGGTAGATTAATTTATTACTATCATATCAGGGTAATCAAATATATGTACAGTATAAAGATAGAGAAAATGCTCTTACATTATCTATATTGAAAGAATTTAAATCCACAATGACACATTTTAAAAATTCATTAGAGATTTTGGTTTATAATAGTAAGACCATGAAAACTAAAAAATATTTGACAAAACAAGCTAAACTTTGGTTAGATAATTCATCACAACAAATAATTGTATGTGATGAAGAACAA